AAACGTGTCTAATAAAAAGCTATTAGAGAAGCTTATATAGAGATTTCTTTAGACACAAGTCGTCTAAGAAAAGGAATATGTTTTAAGCTAATTTTCCTAATTTTAAGATAAACATAAGAAAAGTAAAACTTAATAAAAAAAGGAAACTTCAGCACCAAGGAACTAAGTTGCCGCCATTGAAGGAGATGCTCCTGCATCATGTTCCCACTATTCGACCATTATGCTTATCTTAGCAACGCATTCAAACGCACCTCCATAACTTTTAATTTTTAAAACAAAAGTTCGTAATTTTAGATTTGTTATTGACTTCGACTATATATACTACTGTCACTTCGCTAATTACTATAATTCATTCTTACAACATTTGTGATCATATGTATCACTTACCTTTGTAGTTTGTAACATGCTTGATGATCGCAACCAAAGGAACTATATCCATAAACATTTTCTTTAACAAAAAAATTGGATAAAGTGGGCTCGCTGTTGTTTTGAATCAGAATCTTTAAATTAAATATTTAATTCTATTCAACCTCAAACACAAAAATAAAAAATAAAAAATTTAAACACCGATTGAAAAACGAACTTAAAAATCCACAACTCATATTAAACCTTCGCCAGGTGTTTTTTACTTGTCGTTAAGTATCCCCCAACCCCACACACACCGCGTGTAATGCACTTTTAACCCAAACTATTAGGCCAAGTGGCCAACTTCTAATCGCCCCCTTATCCAGATCAGATCCGACCCGACCCGCAAAACGTATACATCCGCTGATGAAAAAGATACGTATAGTACACTTCTGCAGGATTAAATTATTATTATACAAATGAAATAATTGTTAGGCTCAGGAGAATTGACCTTTGAATTTAATTCTTCTATATAATGTTGCTTTGCGTATTTGCTTTCTGTATGTTCAAAACCGTATAAAAAGAAGCAACATTATTTCGAAGAAGAAGAAATTAAAAAAAAACTTCCTTTTTTTTTCAATTTCTATGATCGATTCTCCGCGGCCATGAAACCGAGTTTCGAATCCGTTTGATACGTAAAAGGCTCTCTCTCTTTGCTTGTATTGGTGTGATTATGGGCGCGAATATCTCAGGTGGTTCGACGGAGTTTGACCGGAACAGTGAACCCAGATTATCTGATTTGCCGGAGAACTGTGTAGCGTTGATCATGATGCGTCTTGACCCGCCGGGGATTTGTCGGCTTGCTCGTCTTAGCAGAGTCTTCCGTCGCGCGTCGTCAGCTGATTTCATTTGGGAGTCGAAGCTGCCTTCGAATTATCAAGCTATTGCACGGAAGGTGTTCGATGAAATTACTCTTAGAAAGTTGTTGAAGAAAGATCTCTACGCGAAGCTTAGCAGACCCAATCTCTTCGAGGGTGGCACAAAGGTTGGAACTTTTTTTTATCACTTTTTTGAAAAAAAAGTCAGCAACTTTCTTATTGTCAAAGGTGTGTTCTTGAAGCAGGAGCTGTGGATAGATAAGAACACTGGTCGTCTCTGTGTATCGATTTCTTCAAAGGCTTTAAGGATTACAGGAATTGATGACCGGAGATACTGGAGTCACATCCCAACCGATGAATCCAGGTTTAGTTTCATCAGCTTCTTCTCGTGATTGTACCCTTAATCTTGATTAGTCTCTTTCAATATTTGCATCTTCAGGTTCCAGTCAGTAGCATATGTTCAACAGATATGGTGGTTCGAAGTAGGAGGAGAGTTTGAGATCCAGTTTCCATCTGGAACATACAGTCTCTTCTTCCGTGTCCAACTCGGTAAAACAACAAAGAGACTTGGACGGAGAATCTGCAACTCCGAACACGTTCACGGATGGGACATAAAGCCTGTTAGGTTCCAGCTCGCAACTTCAGACAACCAACAAGCTGTTTCGCTGCTTTATCTGAACTACAACAACCCTGGACACTGGAGTCACTATCATGTCGGGGATTTCAAAGTGGAGAATCCGGATATATCAACAGGAGTCAAGTTCTCGATGACTCAAATTGATTGCACTCACACGAAAGGTGGCCTGTGCATAGACTCTGTTCTTATTGTACCTAAAGAAAATGCGAGGAAGGTCGTTGAATCAGAATAGTTATATTTTTTTTTGTAGATATAGAGTGGAGATTGTTGTAAATGGTGAGAAGAATCATTTTTATTTCTCGATCTGGAACTTGTACACATGGTTGGGTTGTCTCTGGTTTTGTCTGTAATTACAGTGATTGTAAGAGACTAAGGTATTGAACTTGGAACAAAAAAATGCTTCTTTTTCAGCTATGTAGAATCAGTTTTGTTCAGATGAGAAACCTGTTCAACTTAAGCTTGAAGATAACTTGTATTGCAAGTTATTCTAATCCTTCCAAGACATCATGGTTTACAGAGAAAAGTAATGTTTAGAGTATTTAAGAGTTATCAAAATATTAGTTACCTTATGAGTGTAGAAATTATTATTTCAATTAATAAAGAGATGCTAAGTTGTAGCATAACCTAACAAGTTTGAGAGAGTTTACTTTTGAGTAATTTTCTAAAACAATAAAGATTAGTTTGTTGTTAATCAAGAGAGTTAAATTCAATACAACCAACATAAAGAACATAAGTACCATATCATATGAGAGTTATCATTATTACTGCATAGAAAAGTTAACTAATAAATATGAAACAAGTATTCTGAAGGCCTAGAGAAGACGCTTCTTCCTGCTTCAAGCTGTCTTCAACTTGGGTGCCGGAAGCAACTGTGTAGTAACAGAAGAATATTATATGGAGAAGGTTTTCAAAATCTGATGAAAGATGTGAACTAGGAAGTGGGGTTTGTTGGAAGGAAGGTTAAGTTTACCTGATAACAAGAGATGAGTGAGGTAATAAACCCGAAAGCGCCAGTAACACGAGTAGTAACAATCATTGGAACTAAATGAAGAGCACCAATGGCTACAATAACGTCCATGCTTGATTTAATCAAACCTAGAATTCTGTCTTTTGATTTCTTGAGCTCAGCACGATGCATCTCATCCTGCATTTTTCACAAAATGGAATGAGTTTATTATATACACAGAGAGACAAGAAATATGAGAGAGAGTTTTTTTTGTTTTTTTTTACATTATACTTGTCATCATCTTTGAGTTCCTTATCCTTCTTCTTCATAGATGGGGGGAGCCATATGAGCTCACAAATCTAATAAAGATCAAGATCAGTATATATATATGATATGTGAAGACACAGGAAAATCCAAAAAATGTGGAGGAAGATGAGATAGAAACCAGGATTGCTATTATACACAAAGATGATCCCATCCAGCAGAGAATTGATATACGTGAAATGATCTCAGTTAGTATTTTGCCCTGTGATGCCAAATGAACAAGAGTCTTTAGTCACTTAACAAAGATTAACAAATACGGATTTGTTGCATTAATGTGACCGACCTTAAATATGCCGGATCTACCAAGCCAGACGAATTGATCAAGAAAGTAGAAGGTAGACAAGAGTGCATTCTTGGACTGTAACATGCCAATTCAACAAACAAACAAAAACTCCAAAAAGTTAAAGACCGAAGCTAGGATGAGAAGCGTAGAGTATTTTCTCATGTAAACGAGACACGGTCGGATAGAGTTACTCTTCGGAAGGACATTTCTACCGACCAAAACTTGGTTTAAACACATAGACTGTTGACAAGAAAAAAAGAAAAAAAAAATCATAAGGAGCAAATGTTTGTTGGCACCTTTCCGAGTATAACAAGAGGAAGAGGAATTCCTTTAGGCGCAGGGCTAATAAGAGAGTCAAAATCATTGAGAAACTGCAAATTAAAGTAATCAGAAATCCAAAACAAAACAGTTTTCAAATCCAATAATAATAATAATAAGAAGAAGTAGGCAGAGTGATAATGACCTTAAAAAGACGGAACACTTTTCTAGCCAAACTGGTGTTTCTGTCTACATTTTGAGCAGTACCAGGTTTCCCACCGCTCAAGAATTTGGAACCGAACTGTATAGCTCTGCATATCTTATCTCTAGCCTCAGCTTTTTTTAAGTATAGGATTATTAGAGCTAGCTCGTCTCTGCTCAAATATAATTTATTCATCTTCTCTCTGCAAAAATCAAAACAATACCAGCCTTGGATTCAACAAAACTTAGAAACAGATTCACTATCTCTATCATCGAAAGGCACAAGCTTTCAAGGCCACACATAAAAATGTTTGCTTTTAAAAAAAATTCAGACCAGAATATCAGTTTAATCAGCAACCAAAATGTCGAAACAGAGCAATGCAATAAGAAATGATAACATTCGAATACTCAAAGACGTAAACCTACAAAGATTATAGATAGGGAAAGAGTATCATACTTTCAAGACGAGAGAGAGGATCTTGAGATTCAGAGTGCCTTACTATTTCTGGAACATTATTGAGCTCTTCTTCTACGTAGGTTAACTTATGTCATAAAATGCGTGTTTTGGTCTTTTACTTAGGTTATGCCATAAAATGCGTGTTTGGTCTACTTTCTTTCTTTTATAAAATAACCGTTTTGAATCAACGATTATGATCGGCTTCACTGTAAACACACCGTCACTCCTACCTACCTATTCCACTTGATTCTATCCCACGTCATCTAAATACTGAGAGTTGTAGATATAACCGCGTGTCGAATGAGCTGGGTCAGCTTTCCGCAGTTTAAAATGGGCCAGGCCTTTTAAAAAAACCTTACTTTCCAGTACAGAATGAAATATAGCCTTGTGTCCAGACAGTCGTCGAGTAATTTTTGAACTAGTGATTCTTACAGAGATATAACGCACAATCACTTGTATATTGAATCCTAGAAACTGATTTACAAGTCATGATGTATTATTGTTTACGAATTGCAGAGGCATGATGAACTTAGTTAAACGAATGTTAGACTCTCATATATATGAATGATATAGAGAGACGAGACAGACAAGATGGAAACGGTCATATAATGGTTCTTCAGAATCATTAGAAAGTTAGAAACCTCAAAGATTGAGAATGTTTCAAGGCTCTGGTTCGATCTTCTATATTATTATCCTCTAATGTTATCATTTCCGTAGATTGGGAATTCATTGCAAATCCATGGAGGTAATGTAGAGCATAATGTCCCAAGATATAAGTTGATTCTGAAGATAAAATTTATGTGTAAAAAATATAACATGCCCAAGATTGAGTAGCCAAATGTATTGATTAATTAACCGCAGGGTCCAAGACATATCACATAAAAAAAAAACAGAAGAAAAACCAGTAGATTATACCCATATTGTGAAACATAATTAAGTTGTGATGTAAATGGTCGTTCTAAGCCGTATTTCAGTTTTTAAATTAATGGGATATATATAGTAGCTACGCAACCAAGAACTCTGGCATGTTATTCTGAACAAAAGAAGAAAGAGTTAATAAGCTTCTCATAATTTGTTTGACCTTTCGACGAACTCATCCTTGAGTAAAGTTGGTTTCACAGTCACATCCAGTGGCGGATGTACTAAAGACAAAGGGGTGTCACATGACACCCCTTAAATCTATATAAAAAAAATTTTACATGTAAAATCATAAAAAAATCTTGGCATTTCGGTTAAATCTATATCTTGACACCCCCATTAATCCAAGTTCAAGCCCAATTTGACACCTTATTTTTTGTAATAAATTTTTTTGACACTCCATTAACTAATTCCTAGATCCGCCACTGGTCACATCCCACATTACTCTTTAATACCAAAGATCCTTCACCTTGTTCATATTGTTGTTGAAACCTATATAAATAAATATGTATTATTTAAGCCAAAGTTTATTTTTTCATCGGTAGCAAAAAAAAGAAAGAAAAATAATGATTACCCGATCTGCAAGAACCGTCCGAAGTCGCAATCCACAGTGTGAGAGGACAGCAAGGCCCTGGCATCTGAATTTAGCAGAAGGTCTTGAAAGCCTTTGAATTCATGACCTTCTGCCTCAACCTGATGATGAAAAATAGTCCATTAATAACACGAAATACTGAAGATAGTAACTACAACTTCACGAGATGAATCATTTGCAATCTCGAAGTCTAGATAATTAATAACCTTCAGCTTCTTGTTTATATCTCCGAGCTGCCTCTCCTGTAATTCCAAACCCAACCCAACAAGGCAACGACATATTACAATGTATATACACAAATATAAACAGTAATTGTACTATGCTATTAATACAATAACTAACTAACTTACTATATGTTACACTCAAATGTATGTGGATGTGATAGACTTACCTTTCTCCGAAGCTCTTCCATTTGTTCCGTAGTAATCTGCGTCTACGTATATACATAACATGCATTTTAATCTTCCATTTATTTGTAATTATCAAAAATTGGAATTGATTATATAACTAAATAAGATTTGTCAATATATACAAAATGATGTACCTTGCGTTGCCTGGTCGCCGAGAGAGCTCCTTCAAGCTGGATCTCGAGCATCTGCAATTCTTTTACACTCATTTCTCCAAGATCTTCCCCAAGCAAATGCCTATTTATTTCAACGATTCAAAAAATACTTCTTAATTGCGGAAACGAGCTAGGAGATATACAATTACATGTAAATAATAATGATTTATGATCAATATGGTTAATTAAACCTATGAGTGCGAAGAAGAGATTCATATTTGGATCTGAGCTTTGTTATCTCCTGAGACCAGATCTGCACCAAAGAATAAAAAAGAGATTAATTAACTTTTACCTAACTAGCTCATTATAAATGCTGTGTTAGTTGTTATGTATAGCATGCAACTTGGGATATGTAGACTTGGATAAAGAACAAAATTGACCTGTGTAGACTCTTCAGGCCTATCATTGCCCAAAATATTATGTTTACAGCGATTGTACCGTTCAATGATTTTCTCCATTCTACAGATGATTAAACAAAAGAAATCACAAGAGATCAGTAATTGGTTCGTTGATCTAAATGTCTAAAGCAAACCTTAATTACACAAAACTTAAATGGATCTGTCATGTCTTGCATATAACTGCGTAATGAAACTATGAGATCGATGCATGATGAACCCTAATTACTTTCTCTAATTAGAATTAAAAAGATACCACCATTTTAAAAGGCAAAACTTATGGTTTTCTTGAAATCCTAAGGACATAAACACATATCAAATAAATCTGATGAGTAATGATATATAGACGTTTTAGTCTATAATCAATCATCTGATCTTGAAGATGTTATCGGATCTAAAAGCTGAAGCTGAACCATGCGTTTCATGGTCCGAGAAATCGAACCCTTATGTAACTAAACTAGTTAGGATTTGAGAAAAAAATACACAACCTTTTAAATATACCTTAAAAGACAGAACTTTGGTTTCTTGAATCTCAAAAAGGGACACAAGAAACTTAGCTTATCTTAGTTAACCCACTGAATCTTTTGAAAGGAAACCATTTCTTTTTATAAAAACTTAATTAATTAAGGATCTTGATTAAAATGGGTATATATATACATACACATCACTGCTGAACTCATAGAGCTTGCCACTGCTGGAGAAGATAATAAGAGCAACCTGTACATCACATAGAACAGAGAGTTCGTGTGCTTTCTTAAGCAAACCTCCTCTTCTTTTGGAGAAGGTTACTTGTCTATTGACCTTGTTCTCTATTCTCTTCACTTCCACTCTCCCTCTCACCATTTCTCCCTTCTCTCTTTCTATCTCTCTTCTCTTTCTTCTTTCTCCGTTTCTTGACTTTAAACCACTCTCAAGATTTGGAAACTTACACGTATAAATGAAAGGAGATCCAATAATTTAGTTATAGTGATACCACGTAGCGTATAGATTTATAGATTCTATTTTTATTATAGCATAAATGTCTTTTTAGTGTTATCTTTAGCATAAGGGGGGTGTATTGAATCTAAAATTTGAGGTGATTTGATTTTGAATGAAATTTTAGATGATTTCAAGGAATTATAGAATTTAAAGTGATTCTTGATAAACCACTCTAGAATATTATCAAAAACATGGAATTTGAATTTTTTATTATTTTTAACTAAGAAACTCCATCCAAATACTATATAATCATATGTAAACTAAATTCAACAACTTAAAATATTTTCAATAACAATGAATTTTAACATATTTTATGTAATATCAAGTTCAATAAAAATGGATTTTAAGTGAGTTTTTAAAATTCATTTTTTGACTATACGGATTTGTCATTTTAATACAAATCACCTAAAACTCTAACTAAAACTCTAAGTTAAATATTTCTCAAAGATTAGCAAAAATATTCTGTCACCATGCAAGATAAATTATGTCTATATATCCTTTCTCTGTCTAATATATTATGTTAAATAGTAAGTATCACATGCTAACATTTCTTTGACCCAAATGAAGTTATTTGTTAATTTTCTTAAATAGACATGGAACAAAAGATAATTTTCTATTCATAGTCAATGGTTAAAGATACCTAGGAATGGAAATATGCAGGTAACAGAAGGACCACTGGAAGAACCATCATTGTTTCTTTTAGTGTTAACCTTAGTATTAATTTTAAACTAACAATTTTCAAAGTTTGAGTTGAATTCTTTGTGTTGGTGACTATGATGTCTTCAAGGTTTGTAAGTATAGTAAATCACAATTGTGTTTCCCTGATAGGTCTGCGTAACCGATGTGGGATCATGATTTCTTCATGTTCGGGACGTTTTAAATGGTCAGAACATTTTCATTTTGTTGTATTTGGTGTAAATTAGTAAATTGTGAAACTGTTATATAATTATTAGTGGTTCTGGACCATTGGCATTAACATCTACCAATGTTGTATTTGATCACTATTACAAAACCAAGCTATTGATCGAAAAAACAAAAACAAAGCTAAAACCACAAATACTTTGTTTTCTAAAAACTCCACAATCACATTTTAAAAAGCTAAAATACCATCACCGCGGCACCATAATAAACCTAACCAAATCATTTTATCAAGTCTCCAAGTTATATTTCGTAAAGGATTTCAGTGGGGATTATTAGTTAGTGTATTTTAATGGATTTGGAAATCCAAACTAAATCTAGTGTTATTAGTTCTATACTGAAAGCATGTGTTATTATGAACTAGGTATGGACCTACACGAGTTTAAATTGATATTTTTAGTTTCATGCAAAACATTCTAAGAAAAAAAAATTATTGCAATTGGAATATTTTTGCATATATTTTGTGAATTCATTTTAAGGAACAAAAAAATTATTTTCCACATAATCTTTGGTTATGTGCATATACATTAATTAACAACTTTGTATTTAAGAGTAGAGAAAGAATGTCAGAACCAAAAATTCAAAGCAAACCTTAACTCTAAAGAACATATGAATTAGAATGAAGTACAATGAATTGAAAACTTGAATTAATCCAATCGAATCAATGACAACGTAATACAAAATTTTATGCTCTTAATTTAATATTTGTATTAATGTTTATGTTGTCATTATATAAATTTTAGATATTTTGTATGCATTTGTTATCATCTATATACTTTTGTTTCATGGTACAAAATTTTTAAATAATAGTTTTTTTTTTGAAAATCAGTAGCAGAATCATAATTTAAACATTACTTAGTCTCGGAAAATACTGACAAACAAATTACACATTACTATATCTTGATTAAAACACTTGCAATCTTTCACATTTTTCAATAAAGATTCTTTTGCGTAATCCATTTCCAATATTTTCAAGAAAATACTGATTTATACAACCTTGAATTATATTTTGTTATATTAGACAAATTCTTTTACTAATAAAATATATATGGCTTTATACAAAAAATATTTACCTTCTAGAAAAAAATATTTTCATAGTCTCATTAAATTCATCATTGTTTTCAAATTTATTACTTCCCATTTTTTAGGAAGACATATTACTTCATGTCCATAAGATCATTTTTATTTAGCTGGTCTAGTGTTACAATCTTTTGAATTTTATTGTTTATTTTGATGATTTATGTTAACAAAATAAATAACAATTTGAGTTAGAAAATAATAAATAGAAAAATCACACATAATCAGAATCTCACATAATGGTAACAAATTGACATTGACATTAATTTATCTATTTTAGTATAACCAACTTTGTATTATCTATAAGCATAATTAATCACACATATGCATAATAATAGTCATTAAATTATGTACAACAGCATATAAATGACATATTATAACTGTGGCAATAGCTTACCTATGACATGAAAATTATGACAAAAGAAAAATCAACATCAATATAATTTTAAGAAGAAAAAACATGTAAATATGTGAAAGAACAGGCAAAGAAAAAGTCACCTAATATTTTTTTCTTGTATCTTTTATGTATATTGACAAAGTGAAAAACATGAGAGCTTAATCCTATATATATGTGAATAACTATAGTTCCTTTTGGTTTATGTTTTTTTTTTAACAGAAAATTAAATATTTAAATAATAAATTTGTTTATTCATTACGTAATATTAAAATAATACCTCTACAAATTTTTATTTGAAATAATTACTCTACAAATAATAAGTTCTTACGTTTAAATAAGTTCATAAATATTTATTTGTATAGAGAATTTTTTTTAAAAAATAAAAGTTTAGGAAAAAAATTACTATTATATATATATATATATATATATATATATATATCTATTAATTACGAGATATTTTACCGCATGTCAAATTTTTTTTTTAACAAAATAACTACTATCAAATAATATTTTATAATTATTTTCTCTTTAGGATTTTTGAAAAAAATAGTATTAAATAAATTACTTTGCAAATATTTTATTTTGTTTAGGATTTATAAAAAGAAAAACTACAATTAGCCTTTTAACTATTAAAAATTCACATTTTTTTCCAAAATTCCTTTTTTTATTATCTTAGTATATATAAATTTTTAATCATGAGATATTACATCATATCTCACAATATTAAAATAAAATTATTATCAAATAATATTTTAAAATCATTTTTATTTAGGATTTAAGAAAAGGAAAATTAGGATTAAATAAATTACTTTACAAATATTTTTTTAAGATTTGTAAAAAGGAAAATCACAATCGAACAATCTTTTTTTTTAATATTAAATAAAATTTAAAATTCTTTTTTTACAAATTCGTTTATTATCTTAGTATATATATTTTAAATCAATAGATATTTTAACACTTGCCACAATATTAAAGGGAAAAATTCTATCAAATAATATTTTGCAATTATATTTTGTTTAGTTTTTAAAATTGAAAAGTACTATTAAATAATATCTATAATTATTTTTAACAATTTTTATTTTTGCTATTATTTTAGTATATATAGTTTTAATTATAAGATAATTTAACTTATGTCACAATTTTAAACATATAATTAACATGTGTCACAATCGTGTTAATTATAAATTTTGAATAACCAAACTTTTTAATAAAAGGAAATTTCTATAAAGTAATATCTTACAATCATCTTTTATTTCGGTTTTAAAAAAGAAAAAATAGTATTAAATATATTATTTCACAATTTTGTTTTTCTTGCTTAGGATTCGTTAAAAGAAAAACTACAATCGAAAAATCTTTACTCTTTACAATTAAATAAAACTTAAAATTTTATTTTTTACCAAGTTCATTTTATTATCTTAGTATATATATATATATATATATATATATATATCTTAATCATAATATATTTTAACACATATCACAATATTATAAGAAAAATCCTATCAAATAATATTTTGAAATTATTTTTTTTTTGCATAGGATTTACAAATGAAAAATTAATATTCAATAATATTACTAATTACTTTTTTAAAATTTGTTTTTGTTATTATCATAGTATATGTATTTTTAATTATAATATAATATAAAACAATGTCACAATCTTAAATAGATAATTGTCATGCGTTACAATCGTGTTAATTATTAAATTTGAAAAACCAAAATTTATATAATAATATTAAAAAATTGTAATATTTCACAATAAGGACTCCCACATTTAGTTGTTCAAAAAGAAAAGGAATACTACAATTACAATAAACTTATGGATACTAGAGTAAAAATAAACTTATAAGAGTTTGTTTAACAATTCTCTTTGGTTTAATATTTTTAACAGTGGAATACTATTACATGTTTATATGAAATATATTTTTGTAAATATTTAATTTGTAAGGAAATTTATGTTAGAATAATGTTTAGTATTTTGTAATTATCTTAAAATCACGTTTAAGAAAATAAATATATAATTAGATTAATATTTTTTAGTACATAGATTATTAAATAATTATTTATGTGGGAATATATATATATATTTTACAGTTTTGTTTAAGAATTAAAAAAAATAAAATTAACTTTATTATTTTTTTGGTTTAAGTTTTCTTAAGGAAGATTTTTATTAGACACTTTTAATAATCTTAGATATATAATTGTCATGTGTCACGATCTTGTTAATTAGTAACTTTGAAAACCAAGCTTTTATATAATAAGATTATTTATAAATACTAATTCAAACAAGGTATTATTCAATCATACAAATTATGAATTTAATTTTCTAATAAATTTGAGCGAATTTTTATAGATTTTTTTGTTAAAAACAAAAAGATTGAAATTCAAGCAAAAACCTCTAGATTTGTAAATCTTATATATTAAAACAGAAGTCATAACTTGACTTCATGTGTGATTTTTTTAAAATAGACTATTACTAGAAAGTCATGTTACATTAACTCTCTAATAAT